AGCAAAGAGGACTTAAAATACTTACTGATGAAGATCAAAGACTACAGCCTTCAGTATGTACTACACCTCAATGTAAAAAACAAACAAAAATCCTCACCACTGTACCAATAAATAACATCCATATAAATGGAGAAAAGATTGAAGTTGTCAAAGACTTCATTTTGCTTGGATCCACTGGAGGCAGCAGTTAAGAAATCAAACATTTTGCTTTAGGCAAATCTGTTGCACAAGATCTCTTTAATGTGTTCAAGAGCAAAGATATCAGTTTGAGGACTTGGGTGCACCTGACCCAAGCCATGGTATTTTCAATCACCACATATGTGTGTGAAAGCTGGACAACGAATAAGGAACACCATAGAAGAATTGATGCATTTCAATTATCATTTGGGAAAGAATATTGAGAGTACCATGAACTACCAGAAGAACAAACAAATCTATGTTGTACTAGAAGTACACCCAGAATGTTCCTTAGAAGTCATGATGGTGAAACTTGGTTTCCCATACTTCAGACACGTTATCAGGAGGGAGCAGTCCCTGGAGAAGGACATGATGCTTGGTAAAGTGGAGGGTCAGTAAAAAAGAGAAAGACTCCCAATGAGATAGACTGACATAGTGGTAGCAGCAATGAGCCCAAACATAACAATGACGAGGATGGTGCAGGGCCGGGCAGTGTTTCATTCATATGGTCCCTGTGAGTTGGAACCAACTTGATGGCACCCAACAACAGTAACAAAAGCAGTAGTTCATTTGTTGTGACAAATGTAATACTAATGCAAGATGCCAATAATGGCAGAAACTGGGTAGGGAGCATGGGGAACTCTTGGACTGTTTGCACAACTTTCTATGCATTTAAAACTAGTCTGCCTTTCTTAACATCAACTAGATGTTAATCACATCTACACAGGATCTTCACCACAATGCCTAGATTAGCATTTGATTGAATAACTGAGGACAGTAGCCTGTGGGAGGCACAGACTAAGCACTCAACTACTAGCTGAAAGATTGACGGTTCAAACCCACCCAGAGGCATCTCAGAAGTTTCACTGTTCATGAGGTCACCATGAGTCAGGGGCTGACACACAGCAACTAGCTACACAAGCACTTATTAAAGAGAGATCGAGGGAACTTGAAGCAGAGAATGTAAGGATAATAATATTTCTATAAACAACAGCTCAATAATAATTATAATATTTGCTTCCATTAATTGGGAGTTATAAGTTCTTATGATACCCTGAACTTCTTGTGTTGTGACACTTATCACGCAATCTCAGGCAGAGTCTAACAGAAACCATTTTTAACAGAGAGAACTAAATGCAGGGATTAGTTACCCAGGAAAGAAGGTAGGTGAGAACCTCAGGAAGCTACTACCAACCCTAGTTGATGTGTGATTCAGCCATTGTCAAGGACACAAAATCTCCCTTCCTCCCACCTAGCCTGTCTTCTGATACATCCCATCAGCTAAAGCCTTCAGAAGCCAGCAGACAAACACACTCACCAGGAGTCTGCCCCCGCCCCCGCCCCCTGCGGTGCCTGTGGCACACAGCAAAGCAGGTGGGCCCAGGGCGGGCACATGGTGCCACGATATGATATGTTTCATTGCTTGCAACCCAACCCCCAGAGGACTGCAATAAACTCAGTGAGGAGGAGGGAGGCTGTGTCTCTCACCTCAGTTTCTCTTCGGCCTCTCTCTCCCTCTGCCAGATGTATGATTCACATGCAAATATATGATACAAAACCAACTGGTATCATTCTGTCTCGATTACCTAGTGTTGCTATGACAAAAATTCCCACAAGTAGGTAACTTTCAAGAACAGATAGTTCAGGAAGCTAGAAGCTGAAATTCATGGCATGGCCCAAGTGGATGTCCTTCTTTGCTGCAGTCCTGGGAGTTCCTTGGGTTCTTCAGCGTTCCTTGGTGTTCCCTGCACGTGTGTCTGAGTGTGATCTGCTCTTTTCGTCACTCAGAAGTGATTAGGGTTAGGGCTCACTGGTGTGGCTTCATTGCCAAAACAAAAGAAAAACCCTATTTCCTATCCAAAGGTAACAGGGTTAGAACTTCAATATATGTTTTTGGAAAACACACCCGTTTTTCAAATAAGTTAACTGAGGGTCAGAGACATTAAGGACTTTGCCTAAATTCCTAAGGTGAGTGAATATGGAACCAGGAGAAGTGAAAGTCTAGCTCCTCCCAGCATGTCACGCTGCTCTGTGTGGGGGCTGTCTAGACACAGCAGATGAGACGAAACTGTGAACGTAAGGCTGATACCACACTGCCAGGGAATATTCCTGTGGGCATGAGCTCTGAGTGCTGGGGGCCATTTGTAAACAAAAATATGTGTGAGTTTTCCTACCTGTATGCATAAACATCTCATTTTCAATACATGTGGCATTGTAAGACCAGTACTGGACTACAAACCATAAGGTCGGCAGTTCAAACCCACCAGCTGCTCCTCAGAAACCCTATACAGGGTCGCTGTGAGTCAGAACCGACTTGACAGCACACAACAACAACATAGGATAAGCATTCGACTGCTAACCAACTGCAAGGTAGGCAGTTCAAACCCACCAGCCGCTCTGCAGGAGAAAGAAGAGGCTCTCTGCTTCCATAAAGACTTACAGCCTCCAAAACCCAAAACAGGGTTGCTGCAAGTTGAAATCACCTTGATGGGAATGAGTTTGTTTTCTGATTGATTAATACGTGTGTGGGGAGCAGGGTGGGGCCTGGAGAGGGGCTCACTTCCTCCCCACCCCAAAAAAGCCTGCTTTCCTTCCTTTTAGGTCTGAGAAAAAACCCCAGCTGCCATCAAGTTGACTCCTGCTCCTGTGTCAGAGTAGAACTGTCTGGTTTTCAAAAGTAGGTCGCCAGGACTTTCTTTCAAGGAAACTTTGGGTGGACTCGCACCTCCAGCGTTGCAGTTAGCACGTTGGCCATCTGCATCATCTAGGAACTCCTTCAGCTCTGGATCCCTCTCAAAGGTGTTGGGCTTGCATATAAGTACGCTCAATATTATAAACAGAGCCCTATTTTCATCCTTTTTAGATAAATCCACTTTAAAAACCGTGTGGCTCAAACCCCTACAGGCTAGAATCAGGGCGAATCCTCCTCTGCTATGGCCTGAGATTAGTATTCCTGGTGCATTCTGTAGCAGCAGCACAGCTGAAAGTTATCAGCAGGCTGACTTTCCATCTCAAGAACTGCGAACTGCAGCTCGCACAGGCACTTGCAGATATTAAAGGAAGATTTAGAGACCCTCACACTGGCTGCCAACACTAAGCCTTTGTAAAGACTCTGAAGGCATGAGACTACAGGCATCTGTGAGAGGGGGGAAGGAAACATCCGCTTGCTTTGAGAATGTTATTAAAAAATAATAACCTTCTTGAGCAGAAGCAAAATACTCCATTCCAGATTGTGGCATTGTCTCTTTGGCCATGACCCATGCCTTAAGAGAGGGGCTGCTGCCTGCCTGCCCCCTCACCCCACCAGACCCTGCAGTTGTGGGCAGTTAGTGGAGATACATTCCCAGAGCCACAGCAGGAGGGCGTTCTGCTGGAGAACTGAGCCCAGAAAGGAGGGAAGTGGAAGTGGGAGGGGAAGGGGCATGTTCTTGAGTCATGCTGTGAGCAGCCTGGGGCTGACTGAGTGCCATTCCCAGGAGGAAAGGCCTGAGCAGCTGCTCCAGAAGTACCCTGCATTTAGTTCAGGCTGCACTTTTGCCGTCCTGAAATTCTTGATCACTGTTACACAAGAGGCCCTGTGTTTTCATTATGTGCTTTTTATTGTTGCTGTAAGCTGCCATCCCTGACTCATGGTAACCCCATGCACAAGGGAACCAAAATGCTGCCCAATCTTGAGCCTTCCCCATGATCTACTGCTGACTGAACCACTGTGATCCATAGTGTTTTTACTGGCTGATTTTCAGAAGTCAATCACCAGGCCTTTCTTCCTACTCCTGCTTAGTCTGAAAGTTCTGCTGAAAGCCGCTCAGCTCCACTGACAGGCAGGCATTGGCTGCACATGCGGTACAAAGGCTGGGAACTGAGCCCTGTACAGAAGGCATGAATTCCAACACTGAGCCATCACTTCATTTCACACTAACCAGTTGCTGTCAAGTCAATTCCAACTCATGTCAATCCCATGTGTGTCAGAGCAGAACTGTGCTCTATAAGGTTTTCAGTGGTTGATTTTTTAAAAAGTAGATTACCTCTGGGTGGCCTCGAACCACCACCCTTTCAGTTAGCAGCCCAGTGCATTAACCCTGTGCACTATACAGGGACTCCCATTTTGCACATAAACCAAAACCAAACCCACTGCCACCCAACTCATAGCCACCTTGATAAGATGAATTAAAACTGCTACTTAGAGTTTCCAAGAGTAAATCTTGACAGGAGTAGACAGCTTCATCTTCCTCCTGCACAGTGGATACTGGGTTCGAATGGATGGCCTTGTGCTTAGCAGCCTTATGCTTATTCCATAGTACCACCAGGGTAGATCCTGACTTCACCTCTCAGTAAAGGAAGACCACAAAAGCTGAGCAAGATCTGATAGCTCCTGTTAGAAAGTGACTCTCATCAAGATCAACATGCTGTTTGTGTCTCCTCGTTACTGAAAGGCCTCTGGATTGGTGTAAGGCTCAGAGGTGCTTGAGTGTCCTCTTCATGTGCGGCACTGACATGGCCCCTCTGGGCTAAGTCCTGCCTGCACACAAGGCCTTGGTACCTGCAGGAACATCCAGCATCTCCAAGGGTAATGGCTCAAAGCAATGGTTGGTCCCTGCATGCTGACTGCAGCAGCCCAGCCACATGGGGTCAAATCTGAATGCCCCAGTTATCCCAGCTGTTCCAAAGCATGGCTCCAGCTCTTCCGTTGATTGAAGTTGCTTCTGAAGCAGAAGCACAGACGCAGGTCAATGCCAACCCAGAGATTGTGGGCAGGAGCCCAACATCCTTGCAGCTGCTCCCTGTGGCAAAGCACCCCCAGCAGGAGGGCAAAGCATGCTTACCTGGTTACTGCTCTCCTTGATGATCTCACGTTTGGCATCTTCTGCTCTGTCTTGATCTCGGCAAACCAGGTGAACTGTGCCACCTGGTGGAATTCAGCAAAATTGCCTATCAGGGATAGTGTAAGCGGAAACCAGCTTTTCCAAAAAGAAAAAAAAAAATGAAACCATATGTGCTCCGCAAATAATTAAAACCAAACCCACTGCCATGGAGTCAGTTCCAGCTCTCAGCGACTCTGTACAGGGTTTCCGAGGCTGTAAATCTTTACAGAAAGAGAAAGCATCTTTCCCCCACAGAGTTTGAACTGTTGTACTTGGAGTTAGCAATCCAGTGCTTATTCTACAGTGCCACCAGGGCTTCTCGGGTTCTCTAGTTGTTATTAAATATTATTGAGTCCATTGACTTATAGCGACACAGTATAGGGTTTCTGAGAAGTGGCTGGTAAGGTTTGAACTGTTGACTTTGTGATTCAAACCAATCTTGCAGTCCAGTACTTTATACTTTATACCAGGACTCCCCAGTTGTTGTTAAATGCCATCGAGTCGATTCAGGACTCCCCAGTAGAACCCCTGAAATTGAGGCAGTTCTGGAAAATCTGGAGCTCTGGTGATAATGACTCAATGAATATTTATTGAAAATCTGCATTCATACATGGCATTGTGTTGGACTACTAAAAGCAAGGTTTGGATTCAATTCCACCAGCTGCTCCAAGGGAGAAAGGTAAGGCTATCTGCTCCCATAGACATTCAGTCTTGGAAACCCTAAGGAGCTGTTCTACTCTATCCTATAGGGTCGCTATAGTTGGAATTGACTCAACAGCAGTCAGTGAGCTGGGAAGTCTAGATGGAGCCAGTGCCCTCCACAAGGAGTTAGAGAAGGGTAAGAGTGAAGAGAGTGCCAGCTGGTCTTCTGGGGGATCCTGCGTCCCCAGCATCATTGTACACTTACCTGGGGAAGCTTTGGAAGATACAGGTGATGGACCCAGGCATAGGTACTTTTAAAGGTTCCCAAGTGACTCTAGCATTCAGCTCAAGTTGAGAATCTAGTGTAAGGGCTCCATGATATAGTTACTGAGAGTGCACCTATCAATGGCATGCACACTTTTCAGCAGATGCCAGCCCAGCATCAATCAAGGTTCACTTAAAGGGGAATGCCTTGGCTGTGGCAGTTCCGAAGTAATCATTACGAGACTGCTTTCTTCACTTAAAATAGTCTGCTTGATTAAATGGGGTCAGCTCCATGAGCGGCTAGAGGGTAACCACACAGCCAGCTCTCAGCGCCTCCTCCCCACCACAGCTGAGAGTGCTCCCAAGTTGCTAAGAGGCAGCTAATCCTCCCCTGACTGGGCAGATAATTAAATAAAGCTCCAAGTGGTATACTATTCCCCTGGAAAAGGCTTAACTTGGTTTT